TTATTAAGTGCATAACTATCTATAGTACAAAAAATTAGGGTTAACTCTCTTTGAAACCCGACAGCAAGAAAAAGTATTTTATTTCTTGTTTTTCAAATTTATTCTTTGTTTATTGTTGTAAAAGTAGCTAAAATCTAAAAATACAGATCTTTTTAAATTATCTAAGACTAGATTAGGTAAAATAAGTAATAATGATATAATCAAAATGGCTCACAAGGCATGCACACGAGCAGCTCGTGGCTAATGTATTTCGATAGTGTAACGTGAGCTGCACGTTCCCCTAGTGATTTACAACTTATAATGGTGCAGATAGTAGTTAGACACATTCAAAGAGAATAAAACAATAAAATTTAATTATAAATAGATGTATAATGTTACTAACTTAGAGCTACTTAGGATAAACGAATGTAGTTGTTCGTTACAATTTGAAGTCATACTAGAAATAAAAGAAGGTTAATTTAGGTTTATTTCGATTTTTTTTTGGTGGTTACAAAGTCGGTCAAACTAACCAATCCCGTTTTGAGATAGGGTAGAGAAAATAACATATAAACTATAAGGATTTAGCCAGAAAAAAAGATGTTTGAAATGCATTTAGGGATTACACAAAGAAAATTTGGGATTTTTGAGATGAGGAAAAGTATTTTAATTTTAACATGAAAATTACTTTGCTCATGGAGTATTCAAAACAAATACTCAATATATTCATAGACAAATCTTTATTTTATTTTATTAAAAATACTTCACTAAGAAATATGACTTTTTGTATGTGAAAGACTTGTAACATTAACTGAAAGACTGCCAAATTTCGTGAAGATATACCCATTATACTGAGAGTTATAAGTATTAAATTTATATCAACTTTAAACGAGTACAGAAGGCCACGTGACTCGGTCAAATTGACCAAACCCGTGTTGAGAGAGTTAAATAACATGTATAAATTTTTTTATATCTAACCTCACCTTCTCCTTCATTACTTTCTGGTTTGTTGTCTCGGCGGCGCTTGCGATTGAACTGCCCCCTGTTAAATTTGGGAGGAGGAAGAGGATCCATACCAAGTACTTTATGAATTTGACGGAATGTTATCAATCGCAAAGCATGCTATAAAGAAAGATAAAACTATCATCACATATTCTATACAAAAATCTTTAAAAAAATTACACAAATTTAAATACAAGTTTATATTTTGCACCAGCTCTAAAGATATGCAAACTGCTGTCACTCAGCCTAACTCACTTGTCAAAAACATCGAAAATATATACACAAAGAAAATATGTTCATGTACTAAGCAAACAATAAAAAACTTATATTGTTATGGCCAATAACACATTCACCATAAAAAAAAAATAAGTCCAACCAAAACAAACCCACCAGTAACACAAAACAGTCATTAAAACTATTATAATATTACAACTAAAAAGCTTATCCAACCTTTTACTATGTTATGCTTTATCAACTGCAAAACTTGGGATTCTGCAAACCATAAAACAAGTACTTACCTGCGCGCTAGCAGTTATGTCTTCACGCTCTTGATTGGTTAGCTTTAGAATTGCATCTGTTGTATCTTTTTCACAAGGATCTAGCAATCCAGGACCAACTGAAATGAATATATAAAGAAATATAAAAGATCCTTCTAGTGAAAGCAGTAAAAAATACAATTATACATCAACATAATAATTATATTATTAAGTTCCTTTAATTTTTCATTAAAGAACAATAACCACACAGGAGATTGTACAAAAATATTAAATATTGAATTCACTTGACGTACTGAAAGCAGAACAGTTAGCCACTTTATACATGATACTGGCCAAAAAAATATATATATTTATATTGTCTCCAGAATGTTTTTAAAAGTCATGTTCCTGCTGGTATTAGGGATAAATAAGTAGTTAAACCTGAAATTTAAATGCTCAATGGTATTTAATTTTGGTGAAAAAGTGCACGAATTTACCATACTTGTAAATCAAACCTTCTCGGATCAAACCTAGTTCACAAAACATTCATCTTTTCCTAAATATTTTCACACAACTATTTAAACTTTTCCTAAATATACTGTGTTAGTTTTCTTAATATACTTATACTTTATCTCCTGTACTCATACAGAGCTGTAACATTTATTACAAACCTCTAAACCCTAAAAAAAAATCTAATGATTAAAAGATTCTGTGCCAAAATAAATGACAAACCAAAATCTGCCACCTAATATTAAGCATTAACAAATAACAGCATTAAACTTTCACCTGACTCCTTCAGGTTAGCTTGCTTTTCGTGAATTTAATATAATGCTAACTGTACTAATAATTTATTCCTATTTTCTGCCACAGAAGAAAAATAAGACTGCTCACCATTCTTCACTCTGGCATCATTTAAAGTTTAATGTTATGTAAACAGATCTAAAAAACTAAAGTACATTATTTAAAATAGCTTATTTCACATACAACGTTACCATTTCTATTCTATGCCTAAAATTACATTGAGGCTGTAATGGCAGGCTAAATCCAGTAAAACAGAAATTTGGTATTCCTTTTTGAAAACAGTCTTATGTAATGTTTTTTATTACACAAAACAGTTCAGAAATAAGGTATGAATAACCATAAAAAGCATGATTAATATTTATATTACAGTATATATACATGTATACTACTATAAATACTGAAACCCACACCAAACATTTTCCTTGTTTATTAAAACAAAGTACTTTCGATAGATTCCCTTTTAATTGTTTATCAAAATTAGTTTTCTAAGCAATTATCAATATTTATATATCATTTCCAACATTCTTCTGTTCTTCATCCAACAAAAAGTAATAAATATTTGTTCAATACATGTTCAATGTAATTCATTTAACAGATAGTTATTAGATCCATCAAATCAAATATGACAATAAAAATATAACAAATTCACCTTATGTATACCAGAGATGAAGAATAAAGAAAGAATATATTTTGCTCTGTATAACTTCAAAAGAAAAAATGTTTTTCAAATAAATGAACTAACTTGATAATAGAATTCCAGATGCCACAGCTTCAAAAACTCGGCGTAAAGCATCACCCACACTCAACGGGTGGGGATGACTACTAAGAACCTTTTCAACAAGGAGTTCTAATGCCTGTATTAAATACACATAAAAACTTAAATTCATCCACTTAAAACACAATGATTATGTATCAAACACTACTTGATTTCATTTAATCATCAGCATGAAATAACTCATTTAGAAATGCTTTATTGCATATAAACAAATAATAAAAATACACTGCACAATTTTTTTAAAAAGGACATGAAAGTGATAATTTCTGAAATCATATTTTCAGCAAACAACATTTCAGCCAATGACCACTATATATTTAAATTTATGATGGAATTTTATGATTTTCATTTTAAAACAGTCAAAGATTTGATATTATGCTTACCCAGTTATCTAATTTGCTCCAAGTAGGAATTCTCTGACACAAGTCTCGCATTATTCGAATAACAATTAAACAAGACTTCAGACCACTTGCTCTAGCCTGTAATATGCACCAAAATACAATACCTCACAACAATAATAGATACCTAAAAGATCCACATAATTTAACAAAAAGGTCACAGCTTCAAGAAGAATTTATGTAATAAATAATTTTCTATGGCATAACTCTCCAAGACATAAGTAACAAATTGTGAGTTTTGAACTTTAATATAATACTTTCTTAAATTAATTTTAGTAAACAAAATTAATCAATAAATATAAGGTTTTTAATGAAACTGTGTAGGAAATTATGCATAGTGGTTGTTGAAAAAGAAAAAAAAAAAAAAGTATGTTATAGGTCAAACCACTAAGGAGTTAAAATATATACACTAACTCCTTAGT